AACACGGTAATAACGACGGCCCGCTAGCATGCACTACCAAAAATAGTGCTTTGTTGTGTATCTGACGGACGAAAGCTAAACCAGTTCCACACCACTGAAGTTGCAGCATTTTTACAAACCAATTCTGGTTCATCAGTTTCATTCAACAATCCGCTTTCGTCCTTCTCATTCTCCGTCGCCGCCATGCTTTTTCCGCCATGTGCGTATGAAAACAAAGGCACTGCGCATGTGCGTTTTACGCATATTCGATATTCGATATTTCATTTTCTTATCGTTGCCCAACATTATACCGTTATTACCGTGAAAGGTATGATATGGCCCAGCCCTACTGTACAGTACTCTGTTTTTGGTAACTATTGACTTGATGTAAGTTTGTAAAAAATAGTATGTTTTCCTTTCTGTCCTGTTTGTTTGTATATGTGTTTTTCTTGCTGCTGTTACAACCAAATTTCCCCTTGTGGGACAATTAAAGGATTATTCTATTCTATTCTATTCTATTCTATTCTATTCTATTCTAATATCCGTTTCAAGCTATGGGTGATGTAAGTTGTGTCACTTCCGTTATTCATTATTGATTGATTGATTGATTGATTGATTAATGAACTTTAGTATAAATGTTGCAGTAAGACTGAGTCTGATATCAGTCTGTGATTGATTGTCAAGTTGACTATCATATTCAATCTATTTCTGATAATATAGCAATTAACTGATGGATCGTCAAAAAATCACATATCTGTTGCTGTCTACGAAGACAGAAATTGATATTTAAATGTTACAACTGTTTTTTTATGAATATAACCAGAGACTGATACCAAGTCAGCTTGCCAGACCAAGACAAGCTCTGGGCAATCACTTAGTCACCACAACTTAATTCTGGCATTTACACTGTAGATGTAAGGAGGTTGCTGTCCTGTCCTGTTTTTACTTGTCTGACTGAGCCGTTATGCTCCAGTGTTGGATAGTATTTTCATTTGTTTAAAAAAATATCAACATTTGCTGTCCCTGTATTAACATAATATCACCACACACAATATTAACGCTATACAATTAGTTTTCACTGCACCAGTTTCAGTTAAGTTTGTCTTTATGAACATGTTGAATAGTTTAGTGTGGACTGTCTGCATTTGGCCAAGGTTAGTCTTCATCTTCTGCATCATAGCATTTGTCACCTGGGGATAACCATTACAAGCTATGCATAAACGCGTGTGTTTACAGTGTTGTTGGCATTTTGATGCTTGCTACACAAACACGGGCACAGGTCATAAGTAACATTTCATCTGTCAGTTTTAAATTGAGTGGAAACTCTGCCAGTCTGGCACAAACCAGTGCCAGTTCAGCTTTGGAGTGCACCTGGTGGAGAGGGATGATAATGCTGTCCCTCACACACTTAACAAAATAGCAGTTTCTGGTATGTCAGTGAGTAAAACACGTTTTTTTAACCGAGCTGTAATGTGTGGCTGTGCTTAGTTTGGAATCTTTTCCATTTAAACATATTTGCTCACTTCAGCAGCTGTTCATATTTGGAAAAGTGTGACAGACTATGGGATTTGGTTGTTTGCAGTTTCTAAATTTAGATTGTTCAGTGGGTCATTGTTGTTAGGGTAGACTGTTGCATTGTTTTTTGTTTTTTTTTATATTCAGTTACAGCTTTCAAGTGCCAGCACCACCATGGCAACCCGCTTCCTCCACCCCCCAGTGTGACTGAGCACTGAGAGCTACTTTGGGATGTGTATGTGAATGTATTTATGTGTCTGCATGTCTATTTATGTCAGCTGAGTGCACGTGCAGTTTGCCTGGCTTTGACCAGCTCGGGAGTGGAAGTACTCTGATCCCCTCGTATTCCACTTCCTGCTCCATCAGTCCCAGTGCTCCCAAGCCCCGCCTGGTGCCAACGCCCCCAGGCCATATAATCTACTGTATGAGAGGTTCTCCTGATGCCCAGCCCCCCAAGCTCAGGGTGACCCCCTCACTCTAGTACTTTAGTGCTGTTCCCCCATTGGGAGATTATAGATATTGCAATCTTTAATATGGGCTTTATGCTCAGGGGCCATTACCAGTAATCTGCAGAGGGGAGGGAGTCTGACCTGGTTTTTGCAGCCCACCACTGGACTGCCAGACACATTTTCATATACCATCTGTAACATGCTGCCCAGATTTATCAATCCCTACATCAGGGACAGTGGCACTTCTTTAAAAGGAAGCTGGAATTATTGACTAACCCCACTAAATGGATAAGATAGCTGCATTATTCTTCGATCTGGTACATTGAGCTTAGTCCTACCATGATGATACTGTTGATGGTGTTGATTTTTTCTGCCAGACTTCACTTGTTAATGTTTGACCGTAAACATCACCCATAGCTTGAAGCCACCCTTCACTGACTACATGCCCAAAATCTCAAAAGGTTGGATGTTCCCAACTAAAGAAATGCATTGTATGATCACATGCAGATTTCTTCCACTCAAGATTTAATGTGATACGTTTATATCATGTCTTTGATAATAAGATAAGTTTGATAAGTTGAAAATCACTGCAACAATATGAAAAAACTTAGAACCACTCTGGGTTTTATTAGGCTTATATGACGGTTGCATTATTATTATTATTAAAAAATGATGTCACAGTAAGACTTCTATTTAGTTGATACAAAACAATTACCATTATAATTAGATCATTAACGATGGCAAATAATGAAATATTTTGTGTATTAAAACATCTGAAGATTGTTGGCTGTGATCATTGTTGTTTGTTATCATCCTCCTATAAACTTTTATACAGTAAAGTGCATCTGATGTCAAAAACACACTCAGGTGATCAAGATTATAGTGTCGTTTTGTGTCGTTTTCCGGTTCTTAAAGCTGAAACAATGAGATGGCTAATGAACAGCCTAATAGGATGAACTTTTTTTGTGATTAATCCAGCAAAAATTACAAAAAAAGGCAAAAATTAGGTAAAAAACCAACAAAAAAAAAACCAAACAAGCAAAAATGTCAAATATTCCCTCACTGACACCTCTAAGTATTTAATACCTGCCTTTCTTTTCATGGGTTTTGAGGACTGTTAAAAAATGCGATTTGAACGTTTTTTCCCATTGTAAGATCTTGTTGACCAAAGTGATCAATAAAATAGTGACAAAAGTAAATGAAATAACTTAGTTGAAAGTCCTGTGCTTATATCACCGGATATGAGGTTTACTGTTATAGCTCTGATTTTGTTTTATTTATTCACATCAGAAATTTTGTGATAAATTACGTTAAAAAAAAAGAAAGATATTTTCCAATCCATTTGGGCTCCAAGACGCTCAGCAGTTGTGTTTTTTTCCCCAAGCCAATTTTCTCGAAAGGCTTTGCAGATTGTCATCAGATCTGTTATGTAACTGCATCAGAAAACATTTTGGGCCTATTGATATGCAATGAATGAGTGCATTAGATATATGGAGGAGATTAAATTAGGAATAAATATGAAAGAAAAAAAGAGAAACCCATAAAAGTCAGTGATCTCACCTAAATAAATACATACATACATCTATTTGAATCAGTGAATGTGATTATAACAATGAGAAAGTTATTCATTTTGATCAGTTTTACTGATTAAATTCAGTCTTTAAAAGCAGTATTAGATATCAGGGCTATTCAGAGGAACATCTGTTGGATCTATTTGAAACTGAGTGCTAAGTTGAACCTGTTTTGATCGAAATTCTTGATACTTTAGTATCGTTTAGCACCTTTGGTGATGTTTTAAAGACTTCCTGTTCTGAGTATAGCTGTACAAGGGTGACCATTTGGTGGACAGTTTGTATTAGATGACATAATTTAGAATTAACATCCACATCTGTGCGGTGTCTCCCTTCCATTTTTTCTTCTAATCTTTCCTATACTGACCTCAAATTTGAGACGGGCCTGCCTCATTCCTTTTTATTCACTGTCCTCTCAGTGCTGGAGGTGTATGTGTTTAATCTGAGTGCCAATGAATACCATTCCTGTTTGTGTGTGTGTGTGTGTGTGTGTGTGTGTGTGTGTGTGTGTGTGTGTGTGTGTGTGTGTGTGTGTGTGTGTGTGTG